TTGCAAATTTTCAATAAATGTTAAGCCTTTATTCGTAGGATTTAGGATTAGAAGAATAATTTATGACAAAATTACTTTTTAGTAACTTCAATGAATAAAACACAAAATAAAAATCTTGTCTTTGCAATTAAATTTAATGTGTATTATTAAATATTAACATTTTCCATATCGATTGCAATATATTACCCTATAAATTTGAGCATAAAATATTTTGAAATATTAATATCTTTGCCATTGAAATTTCCATCTAATCGAGATTCATTTCGCACAATAATTTTAAGGACACGAAGAATTTGAAGAATTTCCAGAAAAAAATTACTGGTAACGATGAAAATGATGGATCATTCTTACTGCTTCATTATTGTTTTATTCCTAATATTACCATTAAATTGTCAAAAAGAAAATACAACAGATATTATCGACATAAGAGATGATTATAATATTGTAAAAAGATATGTGGCAATTATATTATTTTCTCTACTTCTATTATACGGCATTATTGTCAATATATTATTAACAGCGATATTTTATAATCGTGATAATATGTACAGTCGCCCATTCATCTCTATTGCATCCCAAATTATTATTTGCAGTTTTTTAAATTTCACTACACAAATAATTATTGTTTTGCGTGAAATACTAAAGGATAAAATTTCGGATGGTAAGTTTCTCCTCTCTTCCATTATTTTATCCATTTATTATCATTTATTGCGATGAATATAATTCAAAATTGCAGGTGATAATTTATTAATATCTATATAGTTTACATGATTAATTTAGAAATGAATTAATTCATAAACGTGTACAGAAGACAATTTTATGTATGTTACAGCAATTTTCCCTTTATTGTTTAATTTATTAATATTTTAGCATATAAGACATCACTGATTCACAGAATATTTGCTCCTATGAATACATTTTCATTTTTCGCTTCATTGTATTTTACACTTTTATTGGCAATTAATCGATTTGTGGCCATATGTTTACCAAAATACAACGATTTTTTTGAATCAATAAGATTCTATTTTTTCATCATCTGCGTGTGGTTTTCAGCTCTCGGTTCTCATTTTATGCATCAATTCTTGATAGCACCATTAATTGCAAAATTTAACACCTGTCATATCTATATCTGAGAGTTTTCAAAAGAATCTCACATTACCATATCATTTTATCAATGAGTGCATAGCAGACAATTTGAGTAAAATTATTTATTTATCATAGACTGATGCTCACAACCTTATACGATCATTCGATTAAAGTTTGTCGTATTAATTTCAGATGCTATTGGAACCTACCGTATTGATTTTAGACACTTTTTTTTTTTTAAAATGCACTGTCAAAAAACGTTTTAAATTTTTCAAATAAATTTTCAGCGATAACACTTATAGAATTTAATTATTGTTTTAAAATTTTTGATGTTTCAAAATTGCAATGGTTCATGAATTGTAGCAAAAGAACACCAGAAAGTGGAGCAGTATTTATGAAGTTTGTTATTTTTGAATTTAAACTTTTTCACTTCAAAAAAGAAGGATTTTATAAAATTTTGCTCTACTCCTAAATTTTTCAATTCACTTTTAGCTTTTTTCAATTTTTAATTTAATTTCTTCCAAATTTAAAAGATCTCCTTTCAGCTTAATTTGTAAAATTTGTAAGAAATTTTTTACCAAGCAATTAGCTTAAATTCATTACATATCCTATATGAATTTCAAATTTAAAATCGATTTCGATTTTATCCAAAGTATCCTTTTCTTTTTTGAAATAATTAATATTCATCTGCTAGCATCTTCACTTATCGTTATTTGGCTATTTTTTGTCCAGGATTCGTTATGTATGGACGCTTATATTACCTATAGCAATGTTTATAGTATATATTCCAATATTATATAGCATGCGCCACAAATGGAAAACTATTTCGGATTTGCAAAAAACAAGCGGTGACATTTTCATTGATTTTTTTATTTCACGCAATCAAGAAAAAAAGAAACATAAATTGTTGCAATAATTCTTCTTTAATTATTTATGAAATATCTGAAAACCATTAGTAATTTTTTTCACTTTCTTCTTTCCTTTATTTTACGAATAGTTGTAGGATATGAAGGAAAGGATACAACAAGAACTGGTAAATATGACCGATCAATGTTCATTCAAGCAGTAACAGTTTGTGGAGCATGGGAAATTCAAATTATCTGCTTTAATTTCCTCCTTAAGTTTGCTATCAAATTATTGGGCAAAAAAGCCGAAATTCCTGTTAACATTTTTATCAATTGCTATGTAATTTTTAATAGTTCAATGTTGCCCACTGCCAATTTACTTTTCATCAAACGATTTCGTAAAGACGTAAAACAAAAAATTAAGGAAATATTATCGAAAATTATAAACAAGAAAAACTCATCTACCATAGTACCAGCTTCAGTAATCACGAGGAAAATTTAGTCAATTTTTCATGTATGTTAATGCAATAGTCAATGCAGTATATTTTGCCCACTATTTATTCCATTTTTGTTCAATTTCAGTGATTATTTCACAACTTGGAAGGAATTAAGATTCCGCTTTCCATAATTAAAATAAGCAATACTTGTTTTTTTTTTTATTATTTTAAACGACACATTATGAAATGACGAGACTCTCAAATGATCGTATTTACTGGAACACCAAATGGGTAATAATCATTAATAGAAGTTTCTAATTTTTTTTTTGCTTTTGAAAAAAAAATAACTTATTGATTAGTTTTCTGATTGATCGCACTTGTGTCACAAGCCATACAAGTAGAAGTCATGAAAGCAAGATTGAAGACTATTAAAATAAGCCTATGAGCTTCGATCTTGCTTTCATGACTTCTACTTATTAACTTTTGGTACAAGTGCATTCATTATGCCAATTAAACTAAATGTAGTTATTGTAGTACAATGTGCTCTTGCCTTAATACTAATTATACTAATTGTACAAGTCAATGCTACTAGTTAAAACTGTGATAACTTTACACATATATATATATATATATTTGCAATGAACTTTGTACACATTTACTTCCGTGATAATGCCATATTATACCCTAAATAACTTTATAATATTTATAATATAAAATATTTAATCAAGAGTATTTTCTTATTCTTGAAATTTTACTAGAAAAATGTTTTGTCTCAAATACTCGCAGCTAAATGATTTGTTATGCTTTGCCTTTTTTTTTTGATTGATAATTTTAAACAATACCTTGAATGATTCTTTGCTATTAATTAACTTCATATATTGAATGAGTATTAACTTCATATATCGAATGAGTTTGTGATTTTTTTTTTCCGTATCACTAATCTCGTTTATAAAATGACTAATTGTTTGTCTTATTATAAACAGCGTTCATCAAGCGCCACCTATTTTCAAAAGGAGTATATATAGCGTAACTTACTGCTTTTAAGTAAGCAATTTTTCATTTTTCTAAACCACTGCCTTAACCTCAGCAAACAGTTTTAAATTATCCTTCCGAATCGACGATGAAGAACAACCAAGCTAATCGTCTCAATTGACTAAATTTTCTGATAAGTGTGGGAAATAAATCTCGCCATCAAACAATTAAACCTTCACTGCAAATCGACTGTGCCATAAAAAGCTGTCCCACAAAAATGTTTTCCCAATAATTTACCCTTTCATAAATTTCATCTCTGATTTAATATCTTTTTATTTCTTAATAAATATTAGTTTGGTTTTTATGCAATATTCAGTAGGTCCATTATTACAGCTGTATTTCAAAGTTTTTGTTCATCAGGCAATAATTTTCCATGATTAGCAGTTTTTTCCATCGGCACCTCAACTTTTCCAAGGCGACCATTTCTGTAATCATCTACCGCACCCCAAAGATCAAAATATAGTTCTGTTGGAAAATCGAAATTGTTTATGTCTGACTGAAAAAAATAAAATAAAATAAAACAAATATTCCTATATGCAATAGTGCAAACTTTAAGATCTGTAAACTGATTAAAATTATAATTAGAAAAGAGTTGAAATTTTTGAAATGAAATATGCTCTGTTCGATAAGCTTTCTAAGAATTTGAAAATAAGATTCGTGGAAAATTTAAATATCTTGGCAATATAAAAGTATTCGTAATTATTGTTGTTCCTTCGAGCAAAAAGATCTTAGCTATTCCACGAGTGATGTATCGAGCAAATTTGAAACTTAGTTAAATTAACTTTCGTCATGCTACATAATACATAGTGAAATTTATAAGCTTGTTATTAATTCAGAAATGGATAATATTAACCGTTTGCTATTATCCTAAGCAATGAAAAAATATTGTAAATTAATAAATTAATAAACAGAAGTCTCTTAAAAGAGATGTTAATCATTGAGAAATTTTTTCATCACCTTTTGCAAAACATTTTTAAGATCATTGAAGTTTTTGGAAGATGAAATCATTTCCCATATTGTTTGTGCTAAATCATTGTCGTGGAAACCGAAATATGAATCGAATATATCATTCATCTTATTAATTACTAATGCATTTGGCATTTCCTGTATTAATACACAATGTAAAATTTTAAATAAATCAACTTTATTGAACTTTCAAAGTATTTTTGCCTTAATTAGAGCTTAATAATATAAAATATCGAATACTTCATGTTGATCAGTTCAAAAAAAAGAAAATAAAAAACATATCAAATTTGAATATTAATTCTACCTGTACAATGGTCGTTCCATCAGCCTTAAATCGTATTGTTTCATTTGCACCAAAAATTGATTTAATACGTTTTGGCATATTATACGAAGCTATAAAGTTAAATCCTGTCTTTTTTGGTGCAATTAAACGTATCGTAAACCTAAAAAAAAAAAAAAAAATAATTTTAATTTCTCATTCGATACTTTAATGAAATAAGCATAAAGTGCTGAATAGAACGATTATTGACAAAAAAGTAAAAATATTTCATAAAACATATAAAATTATAACAATTGTTTCGCTTAGATGTTAGTTGAATATTTTAAACACACATAAAACAGACAAAGTTTGATTTTGTAGAAATTCTGTCAATGTATTTACTTTTAGTATGCTATACATCGTAAAATGTACAATATTTTAGTTCTGCTTGCAAAAAAAAAAGAAAAAAATAAAATCAAAAGTTTAACTGACGTTGAACCAATGGGTAATGTACGTAAGCGTCGAGCAACATCAAAATGTTTTCGTCCAATCATACTTTCACCATTTATTTTTTCTATAAAGTCACCGACCTATAAATTTTTATATCTGATTCATTTTATTTTCAATATTAATACATTTAAACTCAAAATGTTACATGTAGTGAAACATTCAAAGACATATTGTTTATGATTTTAAAACAATTACATTTTTTTTTTGTTGTTCTGCTTAAATTTACTCTCAATTAACATATCGATCTAAGGCAAGATTTGGCATTCATGAACTTCAGCTAACATATTAGTTCATTATGATAAAATTATAATGCATGAATAGACCAAACTCTGACCTCACATTAATATATCGACGACAAATACTATTTTTGAATTGTTGAATAGTTCAAAAGTCTGGTCACAATGTTAGGAAAAAATAACTGTACATACCAATGGAATGAAGAGTGAAAATTTATAATTCAATTTTTCCCTTTCCATTATATTTTTTTAAATTTCAACATTAATAATCACCTCAAGTGCTGGTTTTGCTTTTGACGCTAACGTACCAGGAACGATTCGTTTGATAAATGCTTTTCCAGCTCCATTATCCGTTATTGTCAAACCTAATGCTCTAAAAATCAATCACCGTTAACAAATATTTTATCTTAGATAATTAAATAGTTAACATATGCAACTGGTATTGTTACTAATTGATTGATGAATATTCAAATTCAGGTATTCAAAATTTTTTCAAAAAATTCTCGAAAAAAATATTTAATTACGTAATTAATTTATAATATCAAATAGGATGATGTCAAATAATGATATTATTTCACTTAAAGTTATAAATTAATTATATCAGAAAAGTCAATTTATTTCCTCTTCTTAGAAAATTAAGCATGTGACAGATGTTAATGTGTTAATGTAATATGTCAGAAATAGAAAGTTATGTTGTAATTATTCTTTAAATCAAGCAAAAAATAACTTTATGGAGGGAATAATTGAAGATTATGAGAGAAAGAAAACGAAAAATAATTTTGAAAAAAAAATTTTTAATAGTCTAATGAAAGCCTTCTTTATTCGTTATTTCATTTTAATTAAATTATTTGATTTTAAGAAAAAATTTAAAACATTTTATTATGAATATCATACAATTCAGTTTTGGTTAGTGTTACTTCTTTCTTTTGTCCCGCAATATGTGCAAAAATGAAATCATTGATATTTATGTTTGAACAAAGCAAAGCATCCATTGAAATTCGATGAGTATTGACTGTACAAAATAAGATATCATCCATACTTATTTCATCATAACAATTTGCTATCGCCTAAAGATATATATTTTTTTTTTTTAAAAAATGCTTTTCAATCCCAAATATTCAATGAATTTTTACATGTTTTTAGCAAAAATTGTAACACTGAAGTGCTGTCAATTAAATAAATAATCATATTCAATAATATAAAATCTATGATTACATTTTTATGCAAAAATCTATGACTACATTTTTTTGCAAAAATCAATATATATCATTAATAATGATAAATATTTATTCAAATTATTAAATATGCTAGTATATATATTTGAAATGCAATTAAATTTCAAATTTTAATATGAAAAGTGAGATAATAAGATCAGAATAAGTTAAAATATATTATCACTAAAATATGACCATATGAAGTTGCAAAATTAAAATCTGGTTAACTAACTACATTCTGCAAGAGTGCATGAATACAGTACCTGATAAAGTTGAACAATATTGTTAAATCCAGTAATGATACCAGTTGGACTGCCATGTGCTAATTGCACTTGAAAGGTTAATTTAATATCATCATTAGTAACACATGTCTTGACTATGCTATCCGATTTTATTTCATTAAATGATCCAACAGTACTCCTTCGGTCATGTTGTTTTTGTTGCTGTTGCTGAGCTTGTTTTTCTACTAGTCCTAAAATTATAGTTACTAAATATATAATATACATGAATATCTGTTTGTTATATCGTCAGTAAAAATTAGAAATGATTGTTTGGTTCTTCTCAACGATTCAAATATATTCTAGGCAAATTTGTTTATTTGATATTTGTTTAGTTTGTTTAGTAATCAAATTTGTTTATTTGATTACTTACCGCTTAACGGAATAGGTGCTAAATTGTGTTGTTGTTCTTGATCGGGTAATTTGACATTAATACTGTGATTACTGTTGGTGGATGTGTCTGCTGGACTACATGGTGGTGCATTAATAGTGCTAGCCGAACGAACTTTCTTTTTCATTAATCGACGACGCCATCGTTTCCCGCGATATATCGGTGATAAACCCTTCTTCCATGGACCTGATCGTTCCAACTGTTGCGCATGACGTTGCCACGAACGTGATCGACGACGATCATAAGAAACATTTATAAGATTTTGTCTGGAAAAGTTTTTGTCTATTTACTGATCAAATGCTAAAATTATCAACTAATACTATCGAAGCCTATGTTTCTGTTTCATATCATAAAGTTTTACAAACAATTGAAAGCTATTTACTAGTGTTTCATTCGATTTTATAAGTGAACACACGTCTAAATTCATTTCACTTCTTTACAACTAATACACTTCGTTATGATCGGTTCCATTTTATCATAAATCGCTCGTAATTTATTTTATGTCATCTAAATAATTTTATTTTTGTCAAATATTATTTTCGTAATTTATTTCATAAATAATTTTATTTCACGTATTTTTACTAATAAAATGCTTACTGTGTATCCTCAGAGCTTCCTTCATAACCTAGACCAGAAGTTTGTCTAGCACTACTGATATTATCACATCTACCACCACAACCACCACCACTACCACCAGCACCACCGCTACCACTAATGTTACGGTTAAGACTGCGGAAGAGATTTTTTGATGCAACACGACCGCTTCCTTCCATAAGTTTTTATTAGCAATAATTAAACTGCGCTAAATATTAGTCTTTTAAACTTATTTTTACAACATTTGTCTTTTTTTTCATTTCAAAAATTACTTAATCTAATAATCAAAAAAACCTTTAATCATGGAAAATCAAATATAACACAATTTAAATCAATGGCTTCTTTTCTTCGCCTTCTTACCAGAAATTAATAAATTCATTTATCTGGTCGATTCCATTTTGATCAGTTTATTGTTCAAAATGACATATTGTATTGGAAATTTTATTTCATCAGTAGTTCTTTATTATCGAAATTTTATCAGTATTTCTCTACTGCTTTAACATTCTTCTTTCCTCACACAAAATTGGCTATAACTTTGAACTTTTTTCTCAATTCTTGATCGTATAGTTTAACAGGAGAAAAAAAAAATGCTAATTTTAACAATTCTTGAGATACATTCCTTGAGAATCAAAAATTGAGAAAATTTGTAATTAAAGTTTGAGACTGGTGTAATTGATGAGAACAAATAAAAATTACAAAACCTCAAACAATAATACTGATAAAAAAGAAGATGAAGCATACATTAACAGCTTAAGAAAACTGGCCAAGGAGACTATTTCTTCATAATACCTGGAATGATAATAATATGTGGCCAAGGAGATTATTTCTTCATAATACCTGGAATGATAATAATATGTGGCCAAGGAGACTATTTCTTCATAATACCTGGAATGATAATAATATGTGGCCATGGGGACTATTTATTCACAATACCTGGAATGATAATAATATGTGGCCAAGGAGACTATT